ATGATTACTTGAAGACCTATTGAAGCATATGGATATTACACGCCTAAGGCTATAATTACATTGCGTAGATTACACGGCTTTGGTATTTTTGCTTCAATACAGTTTCATTGGAAGTGAGTTAAATTATGTATACAATGTATTTTGAATGTCAAAGTATAATTCAGCTTTTCAAAGTCTTTATCTAGAAGCTATAACTAGCTTGGATATTGTTTGATACACATTGTACTCTCATTAAGTGTGTTTAGTACTGGCAATCCTAACAGTCATGCTTCATCCATGGATAATGGTATTTTGAATCAATGCTATTCTAATTTTTCATCTAAAGTTCACAGAGTTTGCTATTTCTCTTATATGTATTGAGATTTGTATTTAATGTTTAAATAGTTTCATGTTGAACATTTTCCAGTTTGACAATGTTTTCTGGCTTTTTAAGTCAAAAACACAAATGTTGGGTATTACTGTAACTTCATGTTCACTTATCCCATATTTCACTATTACTCCCTAGCTTTTAACTTGTATGATGAGAATAGTGTATTTCATACCGTCTAATCTATCATGTATAAGTTGTTTTGATACCTATTCTGTTGTGATACTGATCACATCACGGCAGGGTAGTATTGACAATTTATGCTATAATAATGTATATGTTCTTTAGGATAAAATGTGGCCGCTTATCCTAAGGTATTTATACATTATCTACTTGTTTTGAATTCATTCGAGTGGTACTCATCTTGGTGAGGGGGGAGTGATGTGAAATATGGTAATAAGGTACAAAATATGTTAATTAAACATTGGTGTAAGGGAGATAACTCCGTTTTCTTTAGCGGTATGCAAGGTGAGCATGCCGCCGGAAAAGGGAGATAACTCTCGGTTTTTGTGAAGGACGTTTGAAGGTTGTAATGGGTTCTGAAATAAAAGGCTCAACTGCGCACAACTGCACATTTCTGTGTGACTTGTACTATTTGTTCGCAGTTCTTTTCCGGGTGAACAGTCGATTGCCAGTGCATGAGGTTTTAGGCGTGCCACCGGCGTGGCAGGCTACGTTGTCTTCTTCGAGTACAACTAGTGTCATCACTATACTGAATGGTTACTCTTGAACACGTGCCTGTAATATAAGTGAGTGAGTGAGTTTAGTTTTAAGCAGCTTTTAGCAAAATTCCAGCAATATCACGGCTGGGGACACCAGAAAAGGGCTTCACACAATGTATCTATGTGGGGAATCGAATCCGGGTCTGCTCGCGCGTGACGAGCGAATGTGATGTAGGCCCATGATGTAAGTGGAATTTACAATCGACTCGGCTTGTAGCAGCGATTTCTGATGGACGCGCAAAGACCTCTGTTGTTGTTATTTATGATAAATGGTACAGTAACCAAGCACGAAAACACAGAAAATAACAGACAGCGAGGCAGGGTATCTAAAAGTACCGTCGTTGTATGTCTCGTTGCAGGACGCGGCCAGGGGTCGATATATCGCTTCTCTCTGGGTACAGGGCTTGAGCTAGTAGAGACGGTTGCGGGTGATGTGGCTGGGTGTTACACCGCTTTGTGCAGTATATCAGCTGCATGACGGGTTGTCCGCACTCAGGGCTCTCCGTCCGCTCTTAGAATTTTTGGACCGCACTCAGGGCTCTCGGAAAGCACTCGAGGCTCTCAGACGACTCCGCTCAGAGCTCTCGGATTGCACTCGGGGGTCTCAGGCCGCACTCGGGGCTCTCGGACCACACTCGGAGCTCTCTGGCCGCACTCGGGGCTCTCTGGTCGCACTCGGGGCTCTCAGGCCGCACTCGGGGCTCTCAGGCCGCACTCGGGGCTCTCTGGTCGCACTCGGGGCTCTCTGGCCGCACTCGGGGCTCTCTGGCCGCACTCGGGGCTCTCTGGTCGCACTCGGCCGCACTCTCTCTGGCCGCACTCGGGGCTCTCTGGTCGCACTCGGGGCGCACGAACCGCAATTAGAGCCACCATTATAACCATCCTGAACCTGAAGTTGCTGGCCAGTCAAAGAATGCAACTCTGAACAGCGAGTGTTGGCGCCTCAGGTGGGTCACTAGTACACTTATATTAATTACTAAAACATTTTGAGAATCGGGTCGGTCGAGATGCATTAAACACTCCCAGATCGCATTCGGGGTTTTCAGACCGAGTCTAGGTCAAAAGCACCTCGGGACAAAAGCCGCTTGGTACAAAAGCCCCCGACCAAAAGCCCCTTAAGACAAAAGCCCCTCGAAAAAGGACCCGTCACTTTATGTATCGATGGGAAAATAAGATTAAAAACGAGAAATGATTAATAGCATTAAGCCATTTATTGCTTCATAATATAATTATCCTAAATAATATATAAATAAATATGTAATTAGCAAATAATTTAATGAATAAGAAATAAATATATAAGAGCAAAGAGAAAAGGTCATTATACTTTATACCGCACTCTTGTTTCCTTGACCGCACTAGGATCTCTCGGACCGCACTAGGGTCTCTCGGACCGCACTCGATCTTCTTAGAAGACTCGGTTTTCTCGGATTGATCTTGAGTCGGCGAACTGCACTCGGGGTTCTCGGACCGCACTCGGGTCACTCGGACAGCATTCGCGTTGTTCTGACTGCACTCGGGGTTCTCGGACCGCAATTTGTCTCTCGGAATGCACTTCGGACTTTTGGACCACACTTAGGCCTCTGGGAAAGCACTGATTGTTCTCGGACCGCACTCGGGGACTTCGGACCACACTCTTCTTTACGGTTATTGCTAACACGTCTTGTTATTCCATACGTTTCTTTGTTTACCTTTTCAGCCAAATACTAACTGGATTACCGTTATTGCCATAAATATATGTTTAACGACTACCATGTGACCGTAAGAGGCAACTAACTGGATCAGGTGGTCAGGCTCGCTGACTTGGTTGACACATGTCATCGGTTCCCAATTGTCCAGATCGATGCTCATGCTGTTGATCACTGGATTGTGTGGTCCAGACTCGATTATTTACAGACCGCCGCCATATAGCTGGAATATTGCTGAGTGCGGCGTAAAACAAAACTCACTCACTCACCATGTGACTTCCTGTGAGGGTTTGGGTTTTCACGTCCTTCACGTTCAGTCATCACGGCAAATTATCGAGTTATTCTTCGAATGATCCGCCTCTGCATTATCTTTACTTCATTCATTTGCCAACAGAATATTGGATATAAGTATCTGAACAATTCACAATAAAAGTGTACGTGTGTGTATCCTTCTTGAAGGAAGTTTTACCTTAAACAGACTACTTGAATACGCGTGTAAATGTGAGTCCTTGAGAAATGTATTCATCATGCTCCTTGGCGGTTGAAGTGATCAATAACGTAGGGCCAACACTACTTGGCAGGTAACAAAACAACAGACCTCCTTTCTAGTAACCAATCAACGGTGTATCCCACTTGTCTGGTGTCTGGTGGTACAGTACATGTGTGTATAGGTTTAAATTAAACTTGCCACCAGATCAGAGTTCATGTCACGAAGAATAGATTTGACTGAAGGTTGAAATCTCAGCCTTGTTGTGCAATGAATGGACTTTGATTTTCTGTGAAAGGATATAATATATTTCGTTTGAGGCTGAAGTGTGTGGAGAGCCAGGTAACTAAGTATGACTGTCCTAGGAAGATAGCCTACCGTCCAAAATTGTAGAATAGATTATATGGTACTTGATCATGTCATTTCACTTGTTCGTTCGTTCGTGTCTTCGTTCGCCCCTTCGTACGTTCGTTCGTTAGTTTTTCCGCTCGTGCCTTTATTATTATTTATGTCATAACTATCGTTAATACTAATATCAAATCACTCTTATATACAGATCTTGAGCCTACAACGGAGCTTACCTCTTTGTAGTACAACTAGACCCGGGCGTATCTAAACCGCTGAGTCAGAACGTTTGTATGTTAAATACCCCGTCAAGATGTTATCCCGACTGCCGTATAGCAGACTTGACGCCGAGACTTACATTGTTCCATTGAAAATAAATGAGAATTCATATCACAAACTCCCCTGCAGTATTGAACTGCCATGGGAATGCACATTGTGCGACGATTGAAAACTGTAACAAGTAGGACAAGGTAAATCAAAAACGTTTCTCTTCCTGATAACGGTACCCTACATATAATGACATAGACGTTCCGGTGTTTTCAAGGAATGTACTACCCATGTCTTGGAAAATAAAATGGACTTATCATCAGCATTTACATTTGAACGAGGTTGCACACAGCCGGAGTACCCATAACATTATGGCAATAACCACTATTACTGCATATCTTGAGCCCTGTGAGCGGACCTTAACATGGCACTGAGCATGAATAGCTTATCTGAGCCACCCCAGGGAACAATTTGTGATTTTTCATTGTAAATCAAGTTCGGCAGTGATAACGGAAACTTCAGAAGTAATGTCATTATTTTAAATACCCCTGATCTTAGGTTCGACAGATCCGTAAACCTTTTAATACAAAATAAAATACATAAATATATACGTTAGCGATCGGCAGATATGATCCAATGAGTCCTAATACCCAACTCCGATATTGAAACAGGCACACCGTGCACGCTTGGCTGTATTTAGTCACCTAATCACCATAACGTGTGTATCATTAGCTGCTTAAGAAGGGTTTTGTTTTGAAGTAACGCCGGTATACGCTGATCCTCTAAGCTGCGGTTCTCTACTTGAAAATGCAGTCAGAAAGCCAATTAATCTCCACAGGAGGCATGAATAACACACCACCGTCTGTGTATATTCAGATATGAAGTATGATGTTAGAGATACAAAGGGGAGTAACTGGTGTGTCCACGTCGTCCATTAGCAACACTTGGCTAATCAATATGATTTGATCACTGTAAACCTCTACTTTATTTATCAAAGGGAGGGCACCGCAGGAGGTGTGAATAGGTGTTGAATGAATGTTAGCGTGTTGAGCAGAGTCTAATTAAAAGTTTGGTAGTCAGCAAGACTAAGACACAACTCAGTCAGTACAATTGGCCGGTCGGGCAGGTCTGCGAGGCAACGGGGAAGACGGACATAGTAGAGAATGTTTTTTGTTCGAGTAAGGTTGCTACCTTCGTGATTGAGTTCTGGAGATTATGACTGGCAGCCAGGCGGACAGAGGCACTCATTGAGATTCTAATCTTTGTGTAGCCGTCTTGTAGTACAATAAGGATCGGTGCTGGAAACATTCCTATCGGCATGTTGCTTGATTCGGGGTGAATATTCCTATTTTACGTTGATATTTATTAATGGAGTGTCGCGATCTGGAGGCCTCTAAACAGCATTGGGATCCCAAACAATTCAAGACTCTCCACAATGTCTCTCACGAGTTTCAAAAGGAGATGGATTGAGAAATGGTGCGAGGAGGTCCACCACCACCTTCGTCAAGGGAGTATGTGTAGCAATGTGATCGGATCCCCTTCAGAAGAAACAGGTGGGTTTAGTTTTCAAGGGATGCTGAAATCGTCCCTGCCTCTAAGAGGAGAAGATGTGAAGTATCATCAAAATGTGACAGACAATGCGATGGACACCAGTACTGGCCTGGTTGATAAAGGTTTGTATCAATCACCTTTACCTATTGTGAAATTTTCCTACAGTCATTATCAAGACCAACGTAAGAAGGCTGAACGACTGGTTCATGGACTCCCTGTGCTGTCCCACTCTACTACTCAGTTGGACAGAGCCTCGAAAATAGGGGACACTAATATGCCGTTTGTCGTTGTCCATGCAGGAGAACAGATAAAGACTGCACGAGAGCGGGACGAGAGTTTGGAAAGAGGAAAAGTGACATCTGCGCCCGCTTCTTTAACTGCACAAAGACTAGCACAAGAACTGAAAAAATCGAATCATGATTTGACCAGTGGGAGCAATCGGGTGAATATTTTCAATGGGGATCACGTCAACCGAATGAAAACTGCTCCTTCTTTTAATAAATCAAATTTGAACAAAGCAAGAAGATTGCTAGCCAAACGGAATCAAAATGGGAGAAAGTTAGATGGACAGCCATATTCACCGATAGAAAATTGCTGGACAATGACGGAAATGACATGGACATGATCATGCGCAGTGTGTTAGACAAATCGTTTCCGGTAACTCGGGTTCCTTGTGGATAAAGACGAAACTGGATATTTAACGTGTTATGGTTCCAGTAATACACGTTTTGTGAGAGGAATTCGTATTGCCTGTTATAAACGTGCACGACCAATTGTCTTATTTGACAGTTGACCAAACACGTGATAATCCGCAGTATGGTCGGCAGTTTCCGGTACCCCACTTACGAGTGTGAGAAGAGCCGGAAGACGAAACCTACTGTGTTGTGTTTCAAAAGATACACGGGTGAAAGGAATTCTTGTTTGTCTGTGCTAAACATAGAGAGCCCGTTGTCTTGTTTGTTTTAATGTTTTCCAACAAGACGCTCATAATGATTATTTAGTTATTAAAATCAATAACTATTAGCTACTTTTAATTGTCATGCTTGCGTCCAGCTGTATTATTTATAGGGATACCCGTTGGAATGTACGTTTGGTGACACATGGTCCTGTGATTTGAGCGCAAGTCACAGGTCAGGTGAAGTTCAGCAGTATTTAGAGGGAGAGTTGGTGGATGGGTGACCACGTTCTTCAGCTGAGGGGTCTACTAGGGCTTCCGTCCAACGCTAGCGCTATTGTAATGCACATCATACATCTGGCGTTGGTGACCACGTTCTTCAGCTGAGGGGTCTAGGGCTTCCGTCCAACACTATTGTAATGCACATCATACATCTGGCGTTGGTGTTCAGCTGACTATGTTCCTCTGTTCACATCAGACGGCGTCTCTACTGGCAAGTGTCTGTGTTTGACATGTGCCTCTGTTCATTCAGACGGGTACCCGGTAGGATGACATGTACTGTGAATCTTCTAGGTGCTTTACATGCAGCATTTGGTTGTATACTCCGCAGTGAGTCGAGATTGAAATGTATTGAACAAACTTGAGGGTGTGGATTTGAAGCTGTATCAATATGCATGTTATTATTTCAGTATTATACACATCACTCTTATATGATCTATATGTGTCCAGCGCTCCCAGCCCTTTGATATCACGCATCAAATATATTATTTAATATGATTATGTTCTACGACCGATTAAGTACTATTCGTCAATACAGCTTTGTCACGATACTTAAGGAGTCGCATAAGATGTTATTAACAAATGACTCGTAATCGTTCAGGGAAACCATTAAAACAGAGCAAATCCTTTTACAGTAGTTGTGTAATCGGAACGCGCAGATTCCTGGTTGAATGTATGTTCACATTGCTAAAAGTACAAAATCGACTTAGCTGTATTCTCTGACTAATGTGTCTGTATTCTCTGGCTAATGTGTCTGTATTCTCTGGCTAATGTGTCTGTATTCTCTGGCTAATGTGTCTGTATTCTCTGGACTAATGTGTCTGTATTCTCTGACTAATGTGTCTGTATTCTCTGGCTAATGTGTCACTAATGTGTCTGTATTCTCTGGCTAATGTGTCTGTATTCTCTGACTAATGTGTCTGTATTCTCTGACTAATGTGTCTGTATTCTCTGGACTAATGTGTCTGTATTCTCTGGCTAATGTGTCTGTATTCTCTGGCTAATGTGTCTGTATTCTCTGGCTAATGTGTCTGTATTCTCTGACTAATGTGTCTGTATTCTCTGACTAATGTGTCTGTGACTAATGTCTGTATTCTCTGACTAATGTGTCTGTATTCTCTGGCTAATGTGTCTGTATTCTCTGGCTAATGTGTCTGTATTCTCTGACTAATGTGTCTGTATTCTCTGACTAATGTGTCTGTATTCTCTGACTAATGTGTCTGTATTCTCTGACTAATGTGTCTGTATTCTCTGACTAATGTGTCTGTATTCTCTGGCTAATGTGTCTGTATTCTCTGTGACTAATGTGTCTGTATTCTCTGGCTAATGTGTCTGTATTCTCTGGCTAATGTGTCTGTATTCTCTGACTAATGTGTCTGTATTCTCTGGCTAATGTGTCTGTATTCTCTGGCTAATGTGTCTGTATTCTCTGGCTAATGTGTCTGTATTCTCTGACTAATGTGTCTGTATTCTCTGGCTAATGTGTCTGTATTCTCTGGCTAATGTGTCTGTATTCTCTGGCTAATGTGGCTGACTAATGTGTCTGTATTCTGGCTAATGTAGTCTGTAGTCTCTGGCTAATGTGTCTGGAATGGGTTTATTGGGATGAGGCCACATCACCTTGGTTTATCACTAGTTTAATGTCATACCTTAGTATTGCCATGCGCAGTAGTTGTTTGGGCGTTATTGTTATTTGATAAAACACTTACGTCACGAGTGATCAGCATTAGGCAAGCTTCTGACTAAACATCTACTGAACCAATCTATTGCAAAGCTGACTGTTGACAATGCGCATGGAATATTCATAATGTTGATATTTCTCAAGGTTTCTTTTATAACGAAAGGTATTGTGAGAACACTTTTGTCAGGCATGAATAACACACAGACAGTTTAACACAGAGCCTTAGAATGGCATTTACAACTGATACACATAAAGGCGAGAATTTATGGATGCCAGCTTCTGTTTTGAGGAACTCGAGTATATTCTTACTTCTTCATCAGCTGAATGAAAAACAAAGAAACAGTCACAGAATGTTGGATTGAATTACTTTTGTAAATGATCATCAAACGTCTTTAATTTTGTCATTCTTCCTGAACAAGTTTTCGCTTGCAGAACGGAAAACAAGTTCCAAATGTTTCAGTATACGTGTATCTGCATACTTAAAATGTGCAACGAGAACAGAGGAACCTTTATGTAAGAACCATTAAAAGTATATCGCCATTAAGAATTCTGTCCAAACATTCGTCGTCAATATAAAATAATCGTGATCGCTTGCACACCTAGTCATTGACCGATGTAATAATGCATTGGTTTAAGCATCCTCTTAGTTATGGATTAGAATAAATGAGCATTACATATGCACGTTCTTATCGATCATTAGGGGATTTCACTGTATATCTATAAAGTCCAACCACGTTAGCTCATTTCATTTCTTTCTGAGGATGGTCTAGACTGGGTATTCTTCTTTTACTGAAGTTCTATATTTAATTCGACAGGGTCGTTGTTTCTACTCAAGTCCCAGAAATTCATCATAAGCATATTGAAGTATGTTGAGTCAACTGCAAAAGAGATGTGGTCGGAGACAAAAATATTGACAATCAATATGTTTGTAAATCCAATTTATTTACCAAACGTTCTCTTCAGTAATAAGCATCGAGGTATCTCTACTTCTACACAACAGTCGTAATTCCAAATGAACTAACAGGATTTTCCATTTTATCGATCACTTGATTTTATTTTCTGGTTTGTTTATATCCCACTGTCCAGTGACAGGAGTTAGGCAAAAAAAATAATTTTTAGGGACGTTTTGTGAATGGCGAATGCTACCTGTGGAGCAGACACGCTTACCCATTTTTGACGAACACCTGGTGTCAACACTGACTTTCAGTGATTAATTCATATGATTTTAATAGCGTTTTCCCCTTTACATCAAACGGAATGTGTTTCTGGGGTTAGCCATGCCAAGACTGGGTATTCTTCACAGACGTAGTTTAAAAGAATCGGTGGTCCTTAATATTTTGATTAGCAGATCTGATGATTAACTGGACCTATTTTCATTGATGAAGAGACCTCGTGCTATTGGACATTGTAAACATTTAGAAATATCAACAGAAGGTGTCATGTCCAACTATCCAACCGTGATTGCCTGAATATGATACTGACAAGCTGAAATCAATTGCGCGTCCGTACGTTACAGCCCCGCTATTGACACAGTATATCTATTGAAACCCTGAAATGCACGTCTCGTGTACATTTCATACAACCTAAATTGTCTTTGTTCAGTCCCATTGATATCCAATCAATAGTCCTCAATATCACTCGGTTATGTTTACAAGAAACGCCAATTAATTTCATCGCATGATATACTGACCCCTGTGCTATTGTCATTTTGGGTATTTGTTCTGTTGTGGCCTTGCCTACGGGTGTGTTTCTAACATATTCTGTCGTTTAAAATAATGGTCTGTGTTTGTTTCGAAGTAATGGCATTTACGCAATATGATTGACATGTAGTAGGAGTAAATATTGAAGTTATTGAATGTATGGATGGGTGTAGTGCTCTACTTAGATATAACAGGTACATTAACGCCTGGGTACCTGGTACTCTGTGATCTAGACTACAACTATTGTAATCGCTATTGCCACAACTTCTACCACTTCTACAACCACGACAACTACTTCCAATACTACCAGCTACACCTTTACTACTGCTGCTATACCTTCACAACTACCACCACCGTACCAATAATGTAATTACCATTAACACTAACAACTACTACTTCGACTACTTCTACTACTACTACTACTACTACTACTACTACTACTACTACTACTACTACTACTGACTACTACTACTACTCTCTACTCTCTCTCTCTCTCTCTCTCTCTCTCTCTCTCTCTCTCTCTCTCTCTCTCTCTCTCTCTCTCTCTCTCTCTCTCTCTCTCCTCTCTCTCTCTCCATGTTTCTTCAGTGATTACGCGACAGTACTGAAATGTTTACAGTTGCGAGGACGTAACTAACATGGTGTCTTGCCTTCTGTCATCGATATAATATCGCACTAAGCACTAGCTATACGTGTAAAGTAAGGTAGTTTACGCCAGCGAGCAGATGGTGGGTTTGATTTCCGACTTGAACAGCCTTCCTGGCAAATGAGGCAGAGAGTGTTACACTGTCTTTAGCAAAATCGTAGCGGTAGCAAGACCGGGGGCACTTTACAACAAGGCCAGCCAATTGCAACTTCAGTGCAGATTAGATAGGAGAAATTTGAACTAATGACATAATTACCGGCGTGAAAAAATTGATGACATTAATTATTTTTGGTGTTCGATTTCAACGACTTCCCGAATTCAAAGGAAGACATGAACGCTGCAGGCTCCTAAAATATGACACGATTTTATCCACCAAATAACATGTACTAAATAACCAGATAACCTTTGCAGTAGGTTACTGTTCGTGTTGAACGCATCCATGCGCCTCACGTAAAAGGACGTGTTCCTTGGACACGAATACATGTTTGCATTTGACAAATGATCAACACCATTAGATGTTCACAACCGTAACAATCCTTCTACAAGTCCTTTGTGCTGGACGATCACGAAAAGTCAGTATATCATGTATTGTGACCACTCTTTGTGAGGCACGTATTGCAATCAAGTCGGGCTTGAACAGAGACGTTTACAATAACAATCGGAGAGGCAATACATTCTGAAACAACCCGCAACTAGGGAGCAAAGGTCGGACTGACGAGCGTGTGGAGTTGCCTTACAGCTGGGTGTATAGTGGCGAGGGCTGCCGTGGACATGACACCTGCTGATAGTCATCATGACGTCGTCACTACCAACTACCTACCA